GATTATGTTGAGCTGTAGGGGACTCAGGTCAACAATTTCTGACATTGCCAGTGAGGCAGAAGACCCAATACTACTATGGACTACTGGACTCTTTTAGAATATTTTGCTGAGTTAACACACCTATAATATTCAAATAAAGGAACTAAAGAAAAAGAGGGTATACAGATGAATGTCCATTTTGTATATGTGTATTCAAAATGGTTAGGATAGATATATAGTTACATTCTCTTAATGAATAGAGGGATTTATTCTAATGGTGTTTGTGAATAGAATATCGTGTCTGCATCTTGTAGAGCAATTAACCACTAGGAAGAATGTATGCAATGTGTTAATTATTGAAACTGTCCTACCAGTTTGCTTAGAAACTGTCCCATTGCTATTTGTTTCTCAATAAAATTATGGAAAAAAATTAGTAAACCAAAAAAATGAATAGAGGGACTTGTTCTAACAGTGTTTGTAAATAGGATATCATGTCTGCCTCTTGTACAACAAATAACCACTAGGAGGGCAGTGTGCAATATGTTGATTATTGGAGCTGTCCTACCAATTTGATTTGAAACTATCTCATTGATATCTATTTCTCAATAAAATTACGGAAAAAAGTTTTTAAATAAATAAAAAATGAAGTTAAAAAACCCAAAATTATAGGAGTAAATATATTTGCTGCTTATGATGTTTTGTATGAATTAGAATGCTTCTTGCCTGAATATTTGTCATGAATGCACTGTTGCAAGTTTCTCCTGTAAGTTCAAGTTGCCCAGCTAGAAACATTAAATAAAGTTTTTCGATATTGTGCTATATGTATGGGGCACTGGGCTGGGCAAGAAAATGTGAAAACAAGTATATTTAATGAAGTAATTTTTAAATGAAAATAAGTATTCATTTGAATGGTTAATTAACCTAAAAATTATTAACTCAGTATTTGCATGTTTCAACTGATCAGACCAAGTAGCAAATACCTAGATTTGACATTTTCAATTTTTATTAAGGCTGAAGTTAAAATAGCTTGCTAAATCCTGTAAAGTCATGTAAAAGACTTTGTGTTGTGTCAACAACACAAAGAATAATTAGGGTACAAGCAATTGGAATATTTATAAAGATCAGGTTATCCCTGCATGAAAAATAAGATGCACTTTATCTCAAGATTCATATATGTTTTTCATGGGACTCTGAGGCCCCTACAGAGCCAAGCAGTAGCACAAGGAGCATTCGGGGCCTCCCATTGGATCTTGCTGGCTAGAGCAGCTCCCAGGCTGCTCCTGCCTCTGCCCACTCCATGGCTTTTTATGCCCATATGAAGGGGCTGTCTCAGGTTTCACCTGGTATCACTTGAAGCCCGTATACCATTTCTATCCTGGGTGCTGGTGGGCTCAGGAAGCTCCTTTGGGCAGTTTTTTTACTGTTTGGAGAATCCAAGTGACATGGGTGCCCCTCTTGTCATGCCCTTTAAGGAGCAGAGGCCAGTGCAGATGATGTTCCAGAAAGACACATTTCCTTGGGCCCACGTGAGCGAGGTCCCGGCCCAGGTGCTGGAGCTGCCCTACCAGGGCCAAGAGCTGAGCATGGTCCTGGTGCTCCCGGATGAAGGTGTGGACCTCAGCACGGTAAGACAAGGACTGGGGGGTAGTGTTTCCCATCCTGCCTAGACCATATGGTGATGTCCACTTGTCCATCCTTTCCTAGCATAACAACACTGGCAAGCACTCCTCCTCTTAGCTATCCCGCTGCCAACCTTCTGACCTGGGACACTCTTCTCCTAAAGCTACTCAGAGCCCTATCTTGTCTTGTCCATAATGAGGTCTCCTGGCATGAGCAGCTACCTAGAATGCTAAACTTAGCACCAGTAATGAACTAGAGGGACAGAGCTGAACAGAGGAGAAACTGCATTTGTTAAAAAGAAAAAGCACAAGACAGGAAGCTGCTCCAGACACAAGAGGGGGCCAGGGAAGATTGACGCCCCCGGGTCTTTGACTCTAGCTGCTTGTTGACCTTTTGGGAGACTCCTCCTCTTGAACTTGTCACTATTAGACTGGATCCCAAGGCCTTCCTTCGACTAAATGAGGCAACACTGCTGATAGGGGCATTCAGTTTAGTTACCTTAATCTGACTTCTTTTTTTTTTTTTTTTTTTTTTTTTTTTTTTTTTTGTATCTGACTTCCTTATGTCTGTTTGTCCTTCCAGAGCTCCATCTCAGGTATGATCAAGTGGTTATTGGGGAAGGAGTCTTTCTTGAAAGTCAGCTTGAAGTTTGTAGGCAATGTGTATATGTTCTATAGTAACAGAGAGACTCAACAGTGAGAAAAATACCTGCGCAAGTGCCTTGGTGTGGGTCACACTGTGTGCCCTGAGCAGGAGTTCTCCCTGCAGCAGATCCCCAGCCCCTGCTCCTCTCCACTGCACTGGGCCTGAAGGGTGCTATCTCGACTCTGTATGTGTTTCAGCTCTGTGCTCCACCACACTTACTTTCCCTCCGATGTAAATCCCAATGCCATTTGTGCTATTTTTTTCGGTCTGGTTTTGCTTTTTTTCTCATTCTTTGACCTTGTAAATTTTTCATGACATTTGTACTTGCTGATAGACTCATTTTTCTATAGCCTCAACCCTGCCTGGTGGCTTCCAGAGACAGTCCTTTTGTTCCTTGCTTAGCAGTTATGTTTTACTGCTCCAAATAGAAGCCTCCTCAGAAACCAAACATTGACCAAGCTCAAATACCAACAGAGTGTAGCACTTGCTGTGGCACTGGTTAGCAGTGGTAACAAGCAGGTAGAGCCCATCTCCTAACTCAGGAAGCCACAACTGGAGACCTGACAACTTCCAGGCAGCTTCAGGGACAGTGTGTGACACAGCTTCACCTGCCTGCCGGAGGAGGCAGGGCTGACCCTGGAAGTGACCATGGTTGATGGTACTGTGGCCTGAAAGGTAAAGGCTGATCCTGGTCTTTCAGGTGGAAAAGACCCTGACTCTTGAGAAGTTCCAGACCTGGACCAGCCCGGAGCACATGAAGAGAACTGATGTGCAAGTTTCTCTTCCGAGATTTAAGCTGCAAGAGGATTATGACATGGTCTCTGTGCTGCAGGGTCTGGGAGTGGTGGATGTCTTTGATCCACACAAGGCAGACCTGTCTGGGATGTTGGCTGACAGAAACCTGTGTGTGTCCATGTTTGTGCACAAGAGTGTGGTGGAGGTCAACGAAGAAGGCACTGAGGCTGCTGCAGCATCAGCTTGTAAGATAGGATATTGTTGTGCAAGATATTGGAAGGTGTTCTGTGCTGACCACCCCTTCCTGTTCTTCATCAGGCACAATAAGACCAACAGCCTGCTGTTCTGTGGCAGGTTCTCCTCTCCATGAGAGGTCCATTCCCTGTGTATGCAAGCATTTCCTTCTCTGGCCCCAAATCCTGTAAAATACTTACCATTTAGTTCATTAGAAAAGCACGTGCAGCCAGAGGCCAGCTTGGCACACACCCGCACCATCTGTCAGCACAGGGGCACCTTGGATGTGCTCTGCTCTCTCCACTGCCATGCCTTTGTGCCACTTGACCAAGAAAAACGGACAGCAGAGTTTCCGTTTGAGTGCACCATTCGGAACATATCGCAGGGTGGGGCCCGAAAGGTGTGCTTGATGGTCATGAACATCTCTTACTCTTTTGCCCGTGCTCCTTATTGTAGTACCGCTCTGCTTCCAACACCTACACTCCTGTCACAAGCTTGATTTATATGACCTTCTAAAGAGTGAGCCATGGTGCTCAACATTATAATTCCTCTAAAAGTTTTCCTGAGGCTTGGCTTGGAGTTTTAAAGATGTGAACATTTTAATTTTATTTTTATTTGGCATTTGCTGCTCAGCTGTCTATGCCGAGTCCGGCGTTAGACTCAGGTCCAGAGTGGGGCTTCTTCAGCAGCTGCTCTTATTGTCTTGCCCAACTCATACCTTTTGTGACAACCAGGTTATCCTATTTAAGGCCTTCAGTCTTGCAGAGATGACAAGTTTCTTCAGAGGACTTGATTTCTGGATCTCCAAATCTAGCTCTTAAATTCCATTCAGCACTTTTAATTCATTTCCGATGTCAGCTTCTTCAAGAAAAGTTGCTTTTTCTCCAGCAACTAATGAGCAGTGAGGATAAATCTAAAAAGAGACATCAATCCTTGGGATTCCTCAATCCAGAAAATTGAACGTTGTTTCCATTCTCTGTCCACCACTAAGTCCACACAGTACTTTTTCATACCACATATATTTTAACATTGTCACACATTCAGTTCCTGCAAAGGTCTCGGTCCTATCATTCTTCCTGTGTTTACCACTTCCATAATTCACTACAACATAAAAGAGACTGCAGATGGGGCTCCATGCCCGACTCTGAGGACAAACACTGCAAAGTTCTACACCATTAGTCACCTACTGTGTTCCCACCCACCTCTCCTGCTCACCTCCAAGCCTTCTGATCACCTCCGTCTCTCTCCCTCCATCAACTGTGCCAGCCTACTTACCACCTCAGGCCGCATCTTCCTGCAAACCGCACTTACCCCACCCATTTGAAGCACTGCACGCATCCACTTTTCCCAGGCTGTATGGCTGGAGGCCACCTTGCATGGTCCTGGCTGCAACTTCTCTCCTTTAGAGGGCTGAAAAGCTTGTCCTCCCCTTTCTGAGGACCCCACAGGCCCCCTTGCACCTCAGCATCTCTTTCAGACTTCAGCTCAGATCTTGCTTTTAGAAAGCACTCCTGAACCTCTACAGTGTAGTGTGTGTGGCTTTTCCTTAAAAACCTCCTGTGCATGTAAATAGGAGGGCTTGGACAACTCTACTGTGCATTTCTGTTGGCCTACGGAAAGAGGAGGATAATACATAACTCATTTTGTCTCCTCTTTCCAGTTGTTTGTATTTTTTTCTCTTCTTAATTACTTATACAAGTTTTTACCTTTTTTTCTTCCAATTTTACATGCATATGTCTGGTAATACAAATAACTTGTTGGAAGACAACTCTATATTAAAACAAATACTTTGAAATTGATATGACTTTGCTAAATGAAATTCTGTATCACTTGCATTTTTTACTGTTTTAATTCTGATTTGTACTCTTTTAAAAATAAAAAAATAAAAGTAGCCTGTCCCTTATTATGTTATACTTCAAACTCCCTGAACTCAGAATATTTGCTGGTTTCAAGCCTTAGATTTGATCCCAGGTGGGCTGTTTCATATGCTATTATGGTCTGAAATCTCTCTCTCCACAGTGCTTGTATCAATTCACAGCTATTTCTCTGTATTTTGATAACAGCCCTGCACTGGCCTGGGAATCACTGTGCCCAGCCTCGGCTGTTTGGCTACCAGAAACCTCAATGTCCTCTCCACAAGGCTGACTGAGTTCTCCTTGGTGGTTGGGCCAGAATCCAATGTTCAGTTTCTACTTGCTCCTCCCACTACTTGTGTTATTGTTCATTTTTTCTCTTGGCAGAGACAACATACCTGACACCCACAATTAGGTATGGGATGGTTTACTCAGCTCAACATATATGGAGGTTTCCACCCAGACTAAGGTGGCTCCAGGGCAGAGTCTCACAGGACAGAGGGGATCAGGTCATGATGGCAGAAAAAGTAAAAGCCGGAACAACAAAATGGCAGAGCAGCAGAAAACAAGCCTCTCTTAGTCCATTGTATTATAGGCAGGGGGACTTCCCAGAATGGGTGTAGAACTCAATCCCATAATCCTAGCATTGGACCAGGAATCAGTCATAAACTATAGATGTGCAACCCGTGACAACGTGAAGCATTCCAGGGACATGTTCGCACAAAGCACAACATTCAGCCCCTGCTCCCCAAAGCCTCACCTGAGCTCCTCAGGTTCTTGGTGCTGGAATTGCTCATTCTCATAGTTTCCCTCTCACACGTAATTGACTGCCAGCTTTAGGCCCTCTCCCTGTTGTCCCTTTTTTGCTTTGTAGTTGAAAGAAATACATGCTTGGTTGAAGCTGAGAGACCGCAGCGTTGTGGGACGCTGAAGAAGACCTCCTCATGCTCAAACCATTCCCATTTTGAGTGAACTTACTCACATGAATGATTTGCAGGTCAATGATTTCAGCTCCCTATTCAACAATTTAAATATATGCAGTCCATTAACTCATTACAGTAGTCAGTAACCAGTGTATTTGGAAATTGTGGGAAGGTGTTAGTGATTCAAATGTTTTAGTTTAGCTCACATACTGCCATGCTGTTGTTGCTTTCATCTTGTGGAGATACTTTTCTTTAGATGTTCAAGACCAAGTCATGGTGAAGCTTGCATTAGTCCATGATTTCCTATGTATCAAGGCCAGTTAAGTCTCTCCACGAATTATTTCGCAAACGTGCACAGCACCTCTTCATACCTCCATCATCACCTGCCTCCTGTAGGAGTCATGAGCATTGATTGGCCAAGTGGCTTTCCTTAGAAGATTTAGTGCTCCCCTGGCGTCTCTTCTTAGGCCCACTATGCAGTGTAATTCACTTGGACCTGTCCTTCCACTCTCTCCTTCTTCATGAAACCAGGGACGCAACAGAATTATGAGATATAGTGCTGGATAGCGTATTATGTTGTGGCTCCTCATTGACCTAAAGTACTGTGGCCAAAACACTAGCTGTGGTAAAAGACTATCTAACTTTCTAAATTTTAATGTAGAAACCTCAAGTTTTGAAGATCCAAAAGACAAGTTTATTGAAATTACATTGTGTGAAGTCAATACGTCTATCATTACTATCTCACCAAAGTATTACACATCTTACAACATAAGAGAGAACCATTATTATCTGACTACCATGGGTGTTCTAATATTGGAATCCCTGGAGAATGTGAACTGTTGCATATTTTATATACAAAATAATGACTCAAACCAATATATAGCCTTCCAGCATGACACTCATGATGACATTTTGTAACATAATTAAAATTTCATTTTGACATAGTACAATGTATTTAATGGATTATCTTGTAACACATGAGAAACTTTTAAGCAATGAGCGATGACATATTTAGCTGCTTCACAAGTGTGGGAGGAATCAAAAAATATAACCAGAGGGAGACTCTACTTAAACACAGACCCAGCATAAAGAGCCAAACTCAAGAGCGCAAGTGGCATTCTTTTGCCAGGGAGGAGAGGGGCATAATCCTCAGTGATTCACTTCCATACAGGATGGGGGAAAATATACCAGACATTAGGAACAAACATTGCTTCACAATTTTTTTGTACATGTTCCTGAGTGAAATGGATCTGTTTGGTTAAGGCAGAAGCATTTTAGTCAAAATGGCATGGGAAACAGAAGCCTGTTGAATGGGATCTGGGCGAGTAACAGGCATAGTAGTTAGCAATCTGTCTACAGCAGTATTCGCCTGAAAAAAAAAAAAAAAACCCTGGCCACTTAGAATGAGAATGTAAATGACCAATAAAGGAGGGGAAATGACATGCCTGAAGAGCAAAGAGGAGAAGGTGGAATTCATGAAAACAGTCTTCCTGGTTAGCGTGCACGGCGGCACTTGCAATGTGGCACACCATTTTACCAACATTAGCTGTGTCTCAAAAATGGTGAATTGGAGTGCATGAGTGAACCTGGAAGAGGTTTATTGCTTTCTTTATGGTTTGCATCAAGCACTTGAGTGAGAAGGAAACCATTGTGTAGCATCAGATGAGCCCACAAAGGGTTAGGACTAAACAAGAATGCCCCCATGTCGTGTAATGAATCACAACCCGATAGTGACTGGTGTGTGGGTGAGGACATCGGGTGAAAGATATCCAAAATGATCTTTTCTGGTTTAGCCGAGACCCAGAGTGTGAGTGGGACTTTCTGGGGCTCACCAGATCCTCATTTGACCCACAGTCCATGCCTAGCATGTGAGTAAGACTGCACAGGGCCTGCTGGATCATCATTCTACCCAGGTCCTGCGAGTCAGTGGGACCACCTGGGGCCCACCAGATCCTCAATACACCAAGAGCCCAGGTGGCATGTGAGTAGAACTTCCTCTATCAGACAGGCCCAGTGTGGAACCCTGCAGCAGAACTCCCTCCAGAGAGGCTAGAGGCAAGACCCACCCAGCTAATCCGGGAGCAGAACATCTTGCCAGAGGGTTTACCTCCAAGGACTGCAATAGGAAGAAACCGAGCACCACAGCAAGACCCCAGCCACTCCCACCTGGACAAGTTTGAACTTGGTAGATCCAGACCTGGTGCTAAGGTAATAACTCTATATAAGCTGTACAGCAAAGGTCAGAAGACAGTGCTATACAGAATGACAAAGAGAAGAAGAAAAAATGCATACTCAGGCTTCAAGCTCACCAAGAACAAATGAAGGAGGCAATAGCATAGAAGAAATTAGAAATCACACACCTGAAATCTCTAAAATAATAGCGTCGGAAATAAAGAAAAAACTACAGAAAGCTATAGAGTAAATCAGATCAGAAATAATTTCTAAAGTAAAAAAGAAATGATAACTATAATGAAAGAAGTACTAAGTGCTTGTAAAGAAGACACTGATAAAAAATTAAATAGAAAAAGGATGGAATCCTTGAATGAGCAATATAAGAAAGAAATAGATTGCATGAAGCAGATTCAAGCCGCTATACAGGAAATTAAAACCTCAATCACAAGCTGGCAAAACCACTTAAATGAAAGTGAAAATAGACTTTCAGACCTTGAAGACACATTGCAGCTAGTGAAAAGGTAAGAAAAGATCTCTTAAAAACAACTAGAATGCAGGAAAAAAAAAATAATCCATCACCTGCAAGACAAGGCAAAGATGAACAATGTGAGACTAATAGGCATCAGCGAGAAAGAAGGAGTCAATACAAATAATATAAAAAGAATATGGACAGAAGTGATACCAAACAACTTCTCAAATATGGGGAAACAATCTGACATTCAGGTAACCAAAGTATATAGATCTCCAAATAGCATCAACCCAATTAAAAACACCCCCACATATATAATAATCAAGATCCTAGAAATTCAGCACAGGAACAGTATACCAAAGGCCACTAGAGAAAAGAAACCTCATATTTAAAGGAAAACTCATCTGAATAATGGCAAATTTCTCTTCACAGACAATCAAGTCAAGAAGAGCATGGAGCAAAGTACTACAAGTCTTGCAAGAAAACAAATTCCAACCCAAACTAACTACTGCAAAACTCTCTTTCAAGTATAATGGAGAAATGAAATACTTCTGTGAAAATACCAGC